CTCAGAAGATCATGTAAAGAAGTAATACTATATTTCTAGATGACTTGCTGACATTAAGAACTTGAAAATTGTATGCTATAATTGGAAGTTCACTATAAAATTACGTTACTTTTTAGATTTTCCCAAATTAAAAGGATAAATTATAGCAAATCATCTATAAATATTGCTGACTGCATTTAATCTGCCCATTATACATTTTCCTAATTAGCAAGACTCTGACTAAAAATTCTATTAGCCTATATCTTGGAGAATAGTAGTTGAATGGTAGCTAAATCCTAAATGCCAAAATTTGCAGTCAATTATTCTTAACTAGGATAATAGAATGCAATCATCATCTATTGAAAAAGCTTTTGAGCTTTTCTGTTTTCTTGTTATTTTATTTGTAAACCAATATGTGTTCTGCATCGAAGCTGGAACCAACTCCGATTTGAATTCCACAGTGGCCAGATCTGTGGATACATTTCTATTGTCTACCAGCTTACCTGTGGACACAACCTTCACGTTCCCATCTCCATTACCTCTTGTTGTCCCTGCGACCGGGACAAATTTTGGCAAAGGAAAGATAGATCTGGGAGGTCTCGAGGTGATCCAAGTCTCCATCTCAAACTCAACGTCCTCACAGAGAGTATGGAGAACATTCGAGGGAGGACCGGACAACATGGGAGTCAGCATCTTCGAACCCATCAATCTTCCTCCTAATTTCTTTAAACTTGGACTCTATGCACAACCAAACAACCGTCAGCTTTTCGGTTGGGTTCTTGTTGCAAGAGACGTGTCTGGGACTAGCTTGAGACCACCAGTAGACTACATTGGAGTCGGGGACACTAGGACCATCTTTGTCAATCAAGACGGGCCTGCGTATTTTTGGCAGCCTGTATGTCCTAACGGGTATGAAGCGGTTGGTCTGTTTTTCACCAATTCTCCTCAGAAGCCACCTTTAAAGCAAGAATCTATAAGCTGTGTCCGGTCCGATCTTACGGAACAGAGTGAAGTCGATACATGGGTATGGGGGATCAACGGAATGAGCGTTTCTAGTTTGAGACCAGCCAACAGAGGAACCGAAGCAACAGGTGTGTACACAGGCACATTCAGTTTTCAGCAAGCAAACCTTCCTTCTCTGTCTTTGTTCTGCCTCAAAAACACAAAATTCGACTTGTCTAGTATGCCAAACGAAGACCAAACCAGAGTTTTGTTTCAAGCGTATTCTCCTTGGATATATCTGCATCCGAATGAGGAGTTTCTTCCTTCCTCTGTCAATTGGGTTTTCTCCAACGGTGCGTTGCTTTACCAGCAAGGAAACGAATCTAACCCTGTCCCTATACAACCCAACGGTTCAAACCTTCCACAAGGCGGTTCGGATGACGGTTTATTCTGGTTAGATTATCCGTCGGATAAGGACACCAGAGAAAGGGTTAAGAGGGGAGACTTAGGTAGCACAAAGGTGTATCTACACATCAAACCAATGTTCGGAGGCACTTTCACAGACATTGTCGTCTGGATATTCTATCCTTTCAACGGCGATGCTCGCCTCAAGTTTTTATTCATCAAGAGCCTGTCTTTAGGTGATATCGGCCAACACATTGGAGATTGGGAACACGTTACCTTGCGCATCAGCAACTTCAACGGGGAGCTATGGCGCGTCTACTTCTCCGAGCACAGTGCAGGAACTCTAGTAGAGGCATGCGATCTAGAGTTTCAAGGTGGGAACAAACCTGTGGCGTACTCATCGCTTCACGGGCACGCAATGTACTCAAGACCCGGACTTGTGTTGCAAGGACAAGACGGAAACGGTGTAAGGAACGACATGGCAAGAAGTGACAAATTCTTAAACACTGGTACTGGATACGAGTTGGTTGCAGGACCGGGAATCGTGGAGCCAGCGTGGCTCAACTATTTTAGGAAATGGGGACCAACTGTCCAACATGACATTCAAAGGACTCTTGAAGGTATCGCCAAGACATTGCCTGGACTTTTGCGGAAAAAATTTAGAAATCTCATTAGTAAAATTCCTCCTCAAGTGCTCGAAGAAAAAGGTCCCGCTGGACCCAAAGTCAAAAGGTCTTGGACCGCTGATGAATAATATTCATTCATTCGTATCTCAGATTTAAAAATAATTGATTGGTCATCAATTTGGTACTCGATAAATTTTGGTTTTAAAGTATCTATGTTTTTTTTTTTATTATAAACCGTGGGAATTCCGAACTTTTGGCTCATAATCTCATCGGTACTTTGAAGCAGTATTTGGATATTCCGATTTAAAAGGGGTTTAAACCCGGGGCAAAAAGAAACCAACCCCCTTATATATATTACCACTACACCACACCTTCCGGTTAAACTTTCTAGGTTAATTCATACAATCGGTCTAGTGATTGGTCTAGTTTAATCGGACAAAGAAATAAATCTACGTTAGGTTTGTTTTCAACGAGAAGATAAGAAGTAATGCATGCAGGGAACAAAAAGATGATGTTTTGTACCGGAGTTGATTTTATTTTCTGGCCAAAATTATTTGGCAGATAATTATGGAATCGTGTTTTTAGGAAATCACTGAATTTTTGTGGAAATGTATTTTACGGAAATGATCAATCAGTAGTTAATGATCAAATACAAAATGTTGAGTTGTTACTACTATTCAAACAAAAAATATTTAAAAAATGGCAATAATGTAGTATATGGATGTGTTGGATTGACCATTGGTTTTTATATTCATCTCTCCGTATCACAATAGTTGATGTTTAAGGATTGAATTTTTTTTTTAAAATGCCACTTTTCAAAAATGCCGCATTTTCATTATATCATTTACGTTTGGGTTAACTATATTGTATTAGGATTTAATTTTGAGGGTTTTAGGGATCAAAACATTTTTTAGAATTTATAACTTTAAGATTTAGGTTTTAAAAACCCATAATTAGTGATATTTTTGCAAATGAACATTCCTAAGTAACATTTTTGCAAATGTACACACCAAAAATGATATTTTTGCAATTGCCCCTTCAGGATTTTACACACAAATTAAAAAAGCATTAAATTTTTTAATTTTCCTAAATCAAAATATTATTTATCATCAAATTAAATACAATTCAACTAATAGTAAATAAATATGCATAATATAAAGAGTCATATCAAATAAAATCACATTTAATTTTGTATTGAAAACTGAAAAACTCATCTAATTTGATAAAAAAAAAATTATCTATAAAATCAATTAATATGATACAGAGGAAGTAGTATTTATGAGCTTGAAATTCAAAAGTGAAAATAATTAAAAATCTGATGGGATTACTTATTTAAGAAAGAAAAAAATAATCTCTTCTAAAAACCAAATTCGCAGCCTTCAATGGTTTTATGTTTCTTTGACTATCACAAATATGGTATTATTAGATTTTTTTCTAAATTATTGAATAAAGTTGAAAAGATCTCAGTTTTAGTATCTGTTAAAATTAAAAATATATCTATAGATCCATTGTATATTGTTTTCTAAGTTTATAAGTTAGTTATAGAATTATTTTTCTTATTGCATATTTTTATTTATCATTTCTTGCTTCTTTTCGCAAATGTTTTGGTAGTCATCAAAGGATCTATGTGTCTTCCTTTTTATTTTTCCGACATAAAAATATAGTTTTACTTGCATATATATGGGGAATGAAAGTTGAACACATGATCTTAATTGTTTAATTTTTGTGATCAACTAGTCAACGAAAATGCAAATCTTTATTGAAACTCTGTTTTTGCACCTGTTTCTATTTGGTAACCAAATGTCATGGGTGGAAAGTGAAAGTAACCTCAGGACCAATGGTTCCAATGTAAATTCCTCAACGCATCCATTCAAATGTCCATGTCTTTTGTCTAATGCTTTACCTGTGGAAACAACCTTTTCATTTCCCGGTCCTTTGCCTAGTATGCTTCCCTCCGGGGGAAACTTTGGCAAAGGGACCATAGACTTGGGAGGTCTTGAGCTTACCCAAGTTTCCATCTCAAACTCAACGTCACAGAGAGTCTGGAGATCATTCGAGGGAGGACCGGATAACATGGGATTCAGCATCTTCGAACCAATCAATCTTCCTTCAAATTTCTCTAAACTTGGCTTCTATGCACAACCAAACAACCGTCTGCTTTTCGGTTGGGTTCTTGTTGCAAGAGACGTCTCTGGGAATAGCTTGAGACCACCAGTAGACTACACTGAAGCCGGGAACACTACATCACTGAATATCAAGCAAGACGGGCCTGCATTTTTTTGGCAGCCGGTATGTCCCAATGGGTATCAAGCGGTTGGTCTGTTTGTCACTTCTTCCCCTGAGAAGCCGCCTCAAGGACAAGAATCTATAAGCTGCGTTCGATCCGATCTTACGGAACAGAGTGAGGCGGATACATGGATATGGGGAATAAAAGGAACTAGTGTTACTAGTTTGAGACCGGTCAAAAGAGGAGCACAAGCAACGGGTGTGTACACAGGGACATTCAGCTTTCAACAGCTAAACTTTCCTCGTCCCTCTTTATTCTGCTTGAAAAATACGAAATTTGACTTGTCTAGTATGCCAAGTGAAGATCAAACCAGAGTTCTGTTTCGAGCGTATTCTCCTTGGATATATTTCCACCCAAAAGAAGAATTTCTTCCTTCCTCCGTCAATTGGTTTTTTGGAAATGGTGCGTTGCTTTACCAGAAAGGAAACGAATCCAACCCCGTCCCTATACAGCCAAACGGTTCAAATCTTCCACACGGCGGTTCCAATGATGACTTATTCTGGTTAGATTATCCGGTCGATAAGAACGCAAAGGAGAAGGTCAAGGGAGGAGATATAGGAAACACAAAGGCGTATCTACACATCAAACCAATGTTTGGAGGCACTTTCACGGACATTGTCGTCTGGATATTCTATCCTTTCAACGGAAATGCCAGGCTCAAGTTTTTTCTTATCAAGAGCATGTCACTAGGGAGTATCGGCGAACACATTGGAGACTGGGAACATGCTACCTTGCGCATCAGCAACTTCAACGGGGAGCTATGGCGCGTCTATTTGTCACAACACAGTGGAGGAGCTCTAGTGGATGCATGCGATCTAGAGTTTCAAGGAGGAAACAAACCAGTTATATACTCGTCTCTTCACGGCCACGCAATGTTCTCGAGACCTGGACTCGTGTTGCAAGGCGGCGGCAAGAACGGAATAAGAAACGACATGGCCACAAGTGACAA